TGTCAATTAATGGTTGCCACTGAATTAGAGAAAGCTTTTTTGTGGAGAGGGGGATTCCCAGGTACTTAAAAGGAAGTTCGCCTAACACATAACCAAGGTTTTGTAGTATCAGATCTCTAGAGGTTTGAGAGACACCTCTAAAATAAACTGAACTTTTGTCCAAGTTGGCTTGTAATTCCGAAGCATTAGAGAAGTCCATGAAGGATTTATGAATTTTAGAGACCAATGATACTTCCCCTTTGGCAAACAGGAGCAAGTCATCTGCAAAGCATAGATGCGTAACTCCTAGTTTAGCACATCTGGGATGGTATCTAAAAGCTCTATCTTCTTTTAACCTGTTGAGATTTCTGCTTAAGTACTCCATAACTATGGCAAATAAGAAGGGTGACATTGGGTCACCTTATTTTAAGCCTCTTGCAACATCAAAGGGATCAGTAGGTTCACCATTAATCAAGATAGAATAGTTTACTGTTCTAACACATTCTAGCACCCAGAGAATGAATCTTCTAATAGGCTTTTTTCAAGTCTATTTTTATCATACACCTAGGAGATATGTTCTTCCTAGTGTAAGCTCTGACGAGTTCATGTTCCATTAGGATGTTATTCGCTACTTTCCTTCCAGGGATGAACCTAGATTGGGCATCACAGACAATGTCCCCTATGATCTGCTGAATCCTTGCTGCCAGGATCTTTGCAATTATCTTGTAAAGCACACTACAACATGCAATAGGTCAAAAATCTTTCACTGAATTTGGACATGTTGTCTTAGGGATAAGGGTAATGGCTGTGCAATTTATGCCCCTGTATAGTCTCCCCGTAGCAAAGAAGTTCTTGACTACCTCATATCTGTTCTGACTATATTCCATGCCTTTTTGAAGAAATACGCATTATACCCATCTAAACCAGGGGATTTATCATCACCTATGGAAGATAAGCACTCATAAAATATCCTTGTCAGTAACCTCTTTACAAAGAAATATCTGTTGAGCATGAGATAGCACAGGGCCAGTCTTCATGACCTGCTTGTTGATAGCAGGCAGCGTCTGTGCTGTGGTGCCCATTAATCCTTTATAGAAATTAATAATATCTTCCTTTATCTCAGTAGTATCTGTTAGTTTATTGCCCGCAATTGAGTTGAGTTCCACAATCTATTTTCTCTGGGTTCTTTCCTTCATGACAGCCGAGAAATACTTTGTATTAGAATCCCCAAGTTGTATCCATTTAAATCTGGACTTCTGTTTCATGACACTCTCTTCAATTAAAGACCACTTCTCAAGCTTCAGTATAGTATTTTTTTTCTACCTCCAGTAGGTCATCTGAATACTGCTATGTCAGCTTCTCTTGAATCATCCTAAGTTCCTTTCTGGTATTCTCTATTTGTTGAGAGATCCCTTTCAATTCCTCAGCATTGATTTTCTTGAGCACGGGTCTAAGTTTTTTTAGCTTTAGCCAAATATTTTTCATTGGATCCTCAGCTAGCTTGCGGCTCCAGACTCTTGCAACAGTAGCTCCAAACTCACTGTGATCAGCCCAAACATTGAAGAATCTAAAAAGGATTTTGTCATTCCGCTGAGACATCTTAATGGTAAACAACATGGGGGAATGATTAGATACATAAGACAGGTCATACTCAGTGTAGATGTGCCCCATTTTCATCATCCAGGCATCATTTCCAAACGCTCCATCTATTCTGCTATAGATTCTATCCACCCCTTGCTGCTTATTGGACCATGTGTAGTATTCGCCCTTCCAAGGTAGCTCATTAAGAAATAAGCTATAGATGCAATCAGAGAAGTCTTTCACCTCAGCACTGGTTATGTGATTACCAAACAACCTATCCTGGGGGTATAAAGGTGTATTAAAATCACCACATACCATCCAAGGAGTAGTTACCTTCTAAGACATTTAGGTCAGTTGATCCCACAAGACCCTTCGTTGCTCTATAGTATTATATCCATATATTATGGTCAAGTTACATTCAATAATATCAATTTTCCCCTTCACCATACAATGAATCAATTGATCCTCTATTCTGATAATGTCAATATCATATATAGAAGCATCCCATAAGATCCAAATTCTACCATTTGCTGCCTTCTGATAATTACCCTGCATCATCCAGCCTGGGGCAATGTTCCTACTAATTAGTCTAGCTTTTGGTTCTTTGACTCGAGTTTCAATTAAGCCTGCTAGTTTAATGTGTTTCAGCTTTAAAAAACTCCTCAGTTCTTTTTGTTTATACCTCTTGTTAATACCCATAACATTCTATATCAACCAAGTCATTTAATGATTAATTGTTTACTCCACTAGCAGAGGCTAATGGACTTCCTATCCTATGTCCCTCGGATATCCAAAGACCACCTCCTTTCCGAGTGGCTATTTACTTTAACTCAGGGAACTTTATTGTGCTCCCTAGTTCAGGACTCTTTGTGACATTTATGCTCCTTGTGTTCGTCAAGATACTCATCTACAGTGTTGCTTGATCATCCTGCTACTTCTGCTTTTTTTTTTAAGCAATGTCCTCTCTCTAACCTCTAAGGTAAGGATTGGATACTAGCTTGATTGTTGATAGTATACAGAGGATATGCTTCAGATGTTCTTTGTAGGGGAATCTGATAGCTAGTTTGTTCACCCATATCACATTGAGGAGTATATTTAGCTGCATCAGTATTTTGCTGAGAGACAGGCATTACCCCTTTGGAGTCCATCTCTAACTTTCCACACTTGTACAGGGGCTGGCCTTTGTTGGTGAGGAGGAGGGTTTCTCCTTCTCCTTCTTCTTGATCTTTCAAATTGCTTCTCAACCCCTTCTGGCTGTGGGAGACACATGTGTCCTATTTTTACGCATTTATCACAGAACTCAGGTTTCCAATCATAAATAATAGCTTGCTGAAATTGTCGACCACTTTGGTCACAAACAGTCACCTCACTAGGTAAGGCTTTAGTGAAATTTACTTCGATTAGCATTCACACAAAAAAACTCCTAGTTTGTTTAGTGGTGCACTCGTCAGCAAAGAGAGGGGTTTCAATAGCACTAGCAATCCGACTAAGAGAGTTGAATCCCCAACAACACATAGGGAGTTTAGGAAATCTAACCCATAAGGGAATCTCAATGAGGAATTCCTCATTCAAATCGAAATCCGGTGACCAGGGTTTGAGGATGATAGGCTTGTTATTGATAGTATATGGTCCGGCATGGAAGATTGATTTCATATCCTCCTTTGATTGAAATCGAACCACATAGTAACCTTTTTCATGCAAGAAAATCTCTAGAACCTCCACATTCTTCCAGGTTTAAGCTACATATCGACTCATAGCATTATACCCTGGGGCTTCACCAATCACATAGACTATCAGTGCACTACGCCAGTTTTCAACCTCTTTTTCAACTTCTGTTGTATCTAATTGGACTACAATTTTCCCATCTACTATTGTAGGAGGAATATAAGCTAGATTCATACCATTTTCAGCCCACCAATTGCCGGAGAACAGAGTGGCCCATGTCTTCTTTGGCATCACATTTTCCTCACCAGCTTTTAGATCCGGGTTCTCTTGTCTAGGTTCAATTTTTCCAATTTGTTCCTCTTCCCTCAAAGGCTCCTTAGATTTGTCCAGTGAATTGATAGCCTCTAGATTTGTGACAATTGGAACTTCTGGCGTTTGACCTCCTGATTGTTCCCCATTGAGGTTCAACACTTTAGAAACCCCTGAGTTGCTCAAAGAGACTCCAGACTTCCCATTTAATTGAGTCATTGGTTGTGGAGGGGTTGACAACAATTGGACTTGTATCGATATCTCCTTCTGTAACCTAGTTCTCACCGAGCTTCCAAAGGCAGCGATGTGCAGTTTTTTTGGTTGGCCCCGTCCTCTTCCTCATCCTTTGGCCATGGAACCATCGGAGGCACAGGTTTAACTAACGTGCACCAAGAGCATGGCTTAGAGAGAGAGAGAGAGAGAAGGGAAATTTATTGTGTTCTTTTTGTTAAGCTAAACTCTTTCTTCTTCTTATTCTTCTTCTTCTTCTTCTTCTTCTTCTTCTTATTCTTCTTATTCTTCTTAGAAGATTTCATTTAACAACAATAACAACAAACCTAGTGTAATCCCACAAGTGGAGTCTAGAGAAAGTAGAGTATACGTAAACCTTATCCCTATCTTGTGAGGGTAAAAAGGATATTTCTGATAGACCTTCGTCTCAAGGAAAGATGAAAAAGAAGCAATAGCAATAACAACATAAAGTAAACAACATCACGATAATAGAATAATCGAAGCGAAAGAAATAAGAATATGAATAAGAATGAGAGACAGAAAGAAAACTAATCATAAGGAAATACAAGAGCAATATCAATACTACTGGTATTTGAAAGAAATACGCTCCACAACCTACTATTCTTCTACCCTAATCCTCGACCTCCATATCTCATATCAAGGGTCATGTCCTCGGTAAGCTGAAGTTGCGCCATGTCCTTCCTAATCACCTCCCCCCCCCCAATACCTATTTGGTCTACCTCTACCTCCCTTCATACTCTCTAGGCTAACCTCTCACATCTCCTTACTAGTGCAGTTGTGTCCTTCCTCTTCATATGCTCGAACCTCCTTAATCTCACTTCACGCATTGTCCTCCAGGAGGGACACTCCTACTTTGTCCTTTATAACTTCATTCGTGACCTTATCTCTCCTGGTATGTCTACACATCTATCTTAGCAAACTCTCATTTCTGCCACTTTCATCTTCTGGATATGGAATTTCTTGGATGCCCAATACTCTGTCTCATACAACATAGTCAGTCTAACCACCACTTTGAAGAACTTACCTTTAAGTCTTGGTAGAACATTCTTGTCACACAAAACACCGGATGCGAACCTCTATTTTATCGATCTCACTCCAATACAATGATGACATCATTGTTGATCTCTCCATTATCTTGGATTACTGACCCAAGGTACTTGAAACTCGCTCTCTTAGGGATGACTTGCTAGTCAAGCCTCACGTCCATATCCACTTCATGAGTCACGCTGCCGAACTTGCATGCCAAGTATTCCGTTTTGATCCTGCTCAACTTGATCTTTTGACTCTAGGGTTTGTCTCCAAACCTCTAGTCTCACGTTAATACCACTTCGCATCTCGTCAATCGGTACTATGTCAGCAGTAAATAACATGCACCACGACACCTCCCTTCGAATGTGACGCGTCAAAATGTCCATTACCAAGGCAAATAAAAATGGTCTAAGCACGGATCCTGGATGCAACCCCATAACAAATGAGAAGTATTCCGAGTCCCCTTCTACCGTCTTAACCCTAGTCTTAGTTTCATCATACATGTCCTTAATCGCCCTAGCATATGCTACAGGAATACCACTAGCCTCTTAATACCTCCAAAGGACATCCTTCGGGATTTTGTCGTATGCCTTTTTAAGGTCAATGAACACCATATGCAGGTCCCTCTTATTCACTTTATAACGCTCCACCAATGTCCTTACAAGGTGAATAGCTTTCGTACTTGAACGCCCCGACATAAATCCAAATTGGTTCTCAAAAATAGACATACTTCTCCTCAACCTCACTTCTACCACCCTCTCTAAAACTTTTATGGTATGACTTAGCAACTTGATACCCCCATAATTGTTATAGTTTTGGATATCACCCTTGTTCTTGTACAACAGAATTATCGTACTCCACATTCACTATTCAAGCATATTCTTAGTGCTAAGGATGGCGTTAAATAACCCTGTGAGCCACTCCAAGCCTTCCCTGCTCGCATACTTCCAAAACTCCAACGGAATTTTGTTTGGCCGGGTCGCTCTACCCTTGCTCATCCCACGCATATCCCCCTCAACCTCATCAGTCTTAATACGCCTACAATAGCCGAAATCATGTCAACTCTTGGAGTGCTCCAACTCTCCTAGCATAATGTTCTTATCCCCCATTTGTTCAAGGGTTTATGAAAGTATGTCTACCATCTTCATCTAATAAGTGCCTCTTCTACCAATACTTTGTCTTCCTCGTCTTTGATGCATTTCATTTGGTCCAAGTCGCGGGCCTTTTTCTCTCTTACCTTGGTAAGCATATATAACTTCCTATCCCCTATTGACCCCCATTTCTTCATACAGATGACCAAACGATATAGTCTTTGCCGCCATAACCGCTAACTTGGCCTCTTTCTTCAACTTCTTATATCCTTCCTCATTAGTTTGTTTCTCCTCCTCGTCTTTGCTCTCCACCACCTTCACATACGCTGCTTTCTTGGTTTACACTTTACCTTAGACCTATCCACTCTACCACTAGTACCCTTTGTAGCTTCCAGCATAATCCTTCGAGACCACTAATGTCACGACCCAAAATCTACTATAGGTCGTGATGGCGCCCAACGTCACCGTCAGGCAAGCCAACTATGAATTATCAACTTAATTACTCATTTTATTATTTTTAAAATCATAAATCCCATTAAATAAATAGAGTGAAATCTTGTACTCATAGAAACATATGATTTTCTTTACCAAATCTCGTATAAAATATAAATTACAAGGTGAAATGATAATAATAACATGAACTACAGTCTACAATAATGAACATCCATTAGGAACCCTCAAAACCTGGTGTCATAAGTGCATGAGCATCTATTAGAAGGTACAATAACAATACAGCATATGTCTGGAGTACAAAATAGACAGGATAATGTAACTAATTAAGATGGAGACTCTGTATGATGCGAGTCATAACATAAAATGCAGCTCGCTGTGAAGTCCCCGCAATAGCCGCGCCTTTGCGCCCCAAAGACCACCAGACATATATATACCTGCACAATAAGTGCAACAAGTGTAGCATGAGTACGTAAATCAATGCATACTCAGTAAGTTTCTAGCCTAACCCCGGAGAAGTAGTGACGAGGGATCGACATAGACACTTACTAGTGGTCCAATAAATCAAATACAGTAGGAAGTAAACAAATATGAGGTAGGGTAAGTAAATAGTATAAACAAATATAGGTGCGTGGTACAATCCTCCTCTGAACAGTATACTCAAGCTCTCAATTATCGGTCACCTCCTCAATCGGAGTATATATGTAAAATGGTTCCCACCAGATAGGTCATCACAACTCAAATCAGGAAAACTCACGGATACGATGGCATATTGTCAAATATTATGCATAACGCTACTGAGGCGAACGGTCTGATCCCAAAAGAGTCTTTCATGAAGCTGCCAAGGAGAATGGCCCGATCCCATAAGCGTATTTATAGAAATGTCGAGGAGAACGGCCCGATCCCATTAGAATATGATGTTGCCGAGGCGAATGGCCCGATCCCATAAAAATATGATACTGCCGAGGCGAACGGCCCGATCCCATTAAAATATGATACTGCCGAGGTGAACGGCCCGATCCCATAAAAATATGATACTGCCGAGGTGAACGGCCCGATCCCATAAGAATATGATACGGCATGCGAACGACCCGATCCCATAAGAATGTGGTACATAATTCTGCCGAGGTGAATGACCCTATCCCATAAGAGTGTGGTACATTATCGGCCGAGGCGAACGGCCTGATCCCATAAGAATAAGAAGCTTTAACGAGTCCTTGGCCCCACTCACGAATATAAGTGTGAGTTATGAAATTTAAGAAGCTTTTTGATGAAAACGCACAACGCGAGAGACATTCGTAAAGGAAGCATAATTATTATGCGGCTAATCAAGTAGCTCATCAGATCTCTTACAATAACGAGTCTATCACTCTACGCAAGCCTAATCTCAAGTCGTAATGCAAAATAAAGGAATTAAACAGGCAAGGATAACTCAAATAGTATAATTAAAGCATGGCGTAAACCTAAGTCTACCCGGACAAATTAGGAATCCTAGCATACACATGAACACTCATCACCTCATACGTGGATAGCTCCCGCAACATGTAGCACATAAGAATATAACACTTACGGGGTTAGACATGAGACTTACCTCACTTAGAAGTTCCATAACCGGCTCCAATGCCTCTCTAACACCTCAACTCAAAGCCAAACAATCCGAAACTAGTCATAATATGCAAATCAATCAAAATATACTCCAATGCTTATAATTAATTAATTAATTTATAACAATTCCTAACTCTACTTGAAAAGTCAATAAAGTCAACCCTCGGGCCCACGTGTCCGGATTCCGAATATTTTTAAAGATAAACTTTACGCATAACATCATGAACCAAATATATAATTTATTCCTAACTCCATGTCCAATTTCATTGTCAAAATCCAAAAATACGATTTCTAGGTTTCTCTTCAAAAATCCCACAATTTTCACCAATTCCATGTTAAAATCTATATATAATCCATTTAAAATAGTTGAAAATCGAACAAAATTACTTACCCAAAGATTGTAGATGAAAATCCCTCTTCGAAATTGCCTCCTACCAAACCTAGAGTTCCAAAATGAGAGAATATCTCCAAAATCCCGTCTCCCAGCTCTTTTACCAGGTGCAGATGTCACATTTGCGACATAGAGTTTACATTTGCGGATGTCCGCAATTGCGAACCAAGACAAATATCCAAAGACTTCGCAGTTACGAACAAATGTTCGCAATTGAGAACCAAGGCAAAAATCTACAATCTTCGCAAGTGCGAACAAATGTTCGCAATTGCGATACCTGAGCACCGGCAACACCAGCAATCTTTTCCGACACAGAAATGTGCATAACTCTCTCATACGACATCAAAATTCGATGATTCTTGTTTCTATGACTCTGTAATGGTTCAATCAAATCACAAATCAAAGGTCATTAGCTCAATATATTATCCTTTATACCCAAGAAAACAATGCTGAAACATCAAAGAAGAGCGCGACACAACCCAAACACATCCAAAACACAACCGAGGCCCCCGGGACCCCGTCCAATTACACAAACCAGTCCCAAAATATAACACGAACCTGCTCGAGGCCTCATATCAAACCAAAAAATACCAAAACCGTGAATCGACGATCAAATCCTCCTTTTAACTTTCAAACATTCAAATTTCGACGAATGCGTCCGAATTACACTTAAACATTTCGGAATGACACAAAACTTTACGTACAAGTCATAAATCACGATACAAACCTACTTTAAGGCTCAAAACCCCAAATGGCATCGATAACACCAAAGTCCACTCAAAAACCAAACTTAGAAAATTCTAAAACCTTTGAATTGCCAACTTTCTACAATAAGCGTTGAAATGCTCCTGGAACACCCGATACTCAACTCGAACATACGCCTAAGTCCAAAATTATCATGCGAACCTATTGGAACCTTCAAATCCTGATTCCAAGGTCGTTTACTCAAAAGTCAAACTTTGGTTAACTTTTCTAACTTAAAGCTTCTGAATTGAGAATTTTCCATCCGAATCAACTTTGAACCTCCCGAAATTCAATTCCGACCACACGTACAAGTCATAAAACATGAAGTGAAGCTACTCAAGGTCTCAAACTACCGAACAACCTGTTGGAGCTTAAAATGACCAATCGGGTCGTTACATTCTCCCCGACTTAAACATACGTTCGTCCTCTAACGTGCCAAGAACCGTTCTGGAGTTACCTCAAAATCACTGCTCAACACCTTGCGAACCTACCTGGCCACCACAACCCAGGTGAATACATTTGCTCAAGCCAGATTGAAGATCTCATTTTTTTAATCAATAAGCCTTAGGACCAATTTCCAACCTCCGAATTTCTTTACAAGACCTGATTCTAACATACGAACAACGAATTAATCTCCGTATGCTGAACGCACACATGATCATGCACCCACGCTAACATCAGACAATTCACTACATAACTCATTTGCCCATGGTAACCTCCTTCAAACACAACAGATGCAAATTCATTGAACCGATGCCTGTAGTATACCTTATAACACATCTAAGCCCGGTCTCAACCCTCACAATACTGCAATGATGAAAGAGATGCGCAGGAACTCATAACCACCTGTTAAATCAATAACTCAGGAGTTCCTCCACTCGAAAAGAACCATTACCTCATTCTGAACTGAATAGTGACATTTTTCCTTTAATATAACCTACATAAATCCAATCACACCGATTTCAAGTCCAATAACCTCGTTTCACCCAGTACAAGCTGCCCAGGCAATAATCCACCTCAAACACTGATCAAGATCTCATATGACGCCATCAATGCACCAACAAGACACAACTTAAATATGACACATAAGGAATAACAAACTCTAAAAAAGAACTACCAAGCCGCGGAACGAATAAAACAGTCGTAAAGATGCTATGAACCCTTCTCAGCGAATGAGAAACAAAATACACAAAAATAAGTATAGGGAATCATACTCAACGTC